CCAGGAATGCTGATACATTCAGGGAGTTTCTCCTGTACACTTGTACTTATTGCATCTATTTATTATCCTAGTTCACACAACTTTGAATAAGAATTAATGAATGGTTTCCATCCACTGACAACAATTCATTAGTATTTGATACAGTAAACACATTCTTCATGAACTAAGCTTTCCTCAGTGGCTATTCTTAAAAGTTTATAAATGGTGGTACATAGTGGCTGGAGGAAGGATAGTACAGAAATCTGGCTGGTACTGAAAATACAGCTCTGCACTTCTAAAAGAAAGAGACTTTAATGCTTGAGAAGGCCCTTATATATCACTCTTTCATGAGTTGGCTTCTTCAGTACTGTTAACTGAAAAAGATGGGTTAAGGAGGCAGAAGAAAGCAGCAGGTGATGTTGCTGTGGGACACATTAATCAACTAGGAGCCAGATAATCTGTGGAACTGTTTTTTATCCTGAACAAGCAAGATCACATGAGTAATTTTTTGATAGGGGCACCTATTGATAAATTTTGATAGGGGCACCTATTTAAATAGGGCTGCAGGAGATAATTAAAAAGGCTTGGATCTTCTGTGGAGGCCTGTTCCTCAAGGTATTTGTGTAGACCTGCAGTGAAGAGTTCAACCAATTCTTAACCACTGCTACTCTACAAAATCTTCTCTGTATTGTTGTTATTTACACCTTCTTTCCTCATCTAGCTTCTTATTTAGGCTTACCGTGTTCTATTTTTGGTCTGCTGTAACCTCAATAATTTATTTTTGTGAGTATATTGAATTAAGCAAACAGAACACATAAATGTGTCCTCACACAAAAATGAATGTGAATGGAAAAAGGCAAGTTTTAAAAAAAAGTAAAATTAGAAGTATTATATATGTACAATCATCAAACAAATGAAAATAAACGTGAATGGAAGAGGGAAAATTTAGAAATATAGGAACAATTAGAACTATTGCTTTATATCATCATCAGACAAATAGTCACATTAAATACATCAATATACTATAGTTATAGTATGTTTATCCTATGTATGTACTCCTTTGATTGTATATCCCCTGCTAATATGCATGTTGCAAAACTCAGTTTACTACTTCTGCACAGACCCAGTATTGACTGACAACATCCTGACTTCTGATGGGTGGGGAGGAAAATCAGAATGAACTTGGCTATTGCGCAAAGAAGGGATATCATCCGTTTAAGATTCTTCTATATGCATGTTTTAACACAGGAGTCGTGATTCAATGATAAATAATCGAATATAATCTGTTTTGTTGCCTCTGCATCATTCAGTGTATTGATGTGTGGATGCAAGTGGGTTAGAAGGGGAAGGCTGAAGCCATTGCCCATCTGCAGTGAACTACCCCATTGCTGTTTATGGCAAGTGCAACTCACTGTATGCAAATTCAGCCATTTGTGAGCCAGTGCATTAACCAGACCACAGCCCATTTTCATGTTGTGTTCATGTGCCATCCTGCTTTATAACTGAGAAGCTGCTTCACCTGAGTTCAGCTGTCCCTTCTGCTGGCATTGGAAGCTATCCAAGAAGACCATGCAGGGGCAAGTACGTGTTCAAGCTGCCCAAGTTTAATCTGCTTGCATTCTTACATCAATCTCAAAACAAATGAAGGTTGGAGGCTGGATGCTAGCACCGCACATATGATGCTAGCACCATACAATATCTTGTATTCTTGATTCAGAAAATTTATTTGTGGGAGTGGTTATCTCTGAAATACTGCAAATATGTCATTTTAAACAGAGTGTCTCTAGTCTTCAGTGGTACGTAGCTGATAGAGGTGGAAGTGACCGGTGGGTTGTACTGCTGTATCTGTATGCCAACTGTTGTGTTTTTTTCCCCATTCTTCCTTTTTGCTAGGTTTCGCCGAAACTGATGCCCATGAGGCAGATCTAGATGTGAAATACAGACTGGGCTTAACTTGCCAGGAGGCTTATTACCAAACGTGAGAAATCGATGACTGTTTTGCAATGTTACTTTTTTTTTCCTTTTCGTTTTTTTTTTTTTTTTAAGGGCTTTATAAGTAGTTTCCAGATAGTTAAACTCAGGCTGTGACTATAAGCCTAAATTGTATTCTGCTTTCATAACATTACCAATTTTAATGGAAGGGTGAATATATTTCCTAAGTTTTGAATTATACTAAAATGTTAATGATCATTGTGGAAAAAAAATGCCTTGTAGTGTCTCTGCCAAATACTATGGTTTTTTACACAGAATCAGAAAATGACCATGCAAAAACTTATGATTGCCTCAGCATTTCCTGATACCCATTGCTCTGGAACTACAGCACTTAGCATGTCCATTCTCCTGTAAAGATGTGGGGGTTTTTTTCTGGAGTGATCTGTGACAAATATATAAAGAGAGACATCAGGAATGTGGACTTAGCTTTTCCTGAACCTTTTAATCAGTCTGTGACAAAACTGTTGATACCGGTGGAAATAACGGGGATCTAAATGTATCTGCTGCTTCCACCGTGTGTGTCTGTTGGTGTTAAAAAGCCTACACCTCCCAAAGTCCAGCTGTCACCCATTACACGTCAGTCATAGGAACTAGAATGGGGCCAGTATGAAGGAGGAAGATTAAAAGTCTCTGTCCCCATGCAAACAACTGTTAGATGCAGTTCCCATGTGAGCTGCTCTTTTTCTTCAGATATAATGCTTCTCCTCTGCTCTCTGTCAAAGGCAAATGACTATTGTTTCTGGAGTAAGGTCTGTCCTTCCAATGTTACATAGAGAAATAGGGAAGGAGATCATGGTCACCTTGAAGATTCCTCTGACAGGAATGCAGATGGTTAAGGGTAAAAACAGTAAGTTTGCACCACTTGCCATTCAAGGTATCAGCAAAATCTAAAGAGTTTAGAACCCAAACTCACGCTAACCAGAATGAATGCCATGAGACAATCAAAATGAAAAGTCATTATCTCAGAGTGGTTCTGCTATTTGATGAAGGTCTTCTTTTCCTTGTTGTCAAGTACAAAATTATTCTTATATTTTGTTATTTTTGCAGATAGGTAATATGACAGCATTGGATCTCACATCCCAAATCAACACAATGTTTTTATTACACAGAGCTTGAATTGACTGGAAATCCACATTTACTAAAATACAGTGTTCTCTTCAAGTATAATGGTTCCTGTCATTTCTGTCATTCATAAAAATAAGAGCATGTAAAACACTTCAGTTAAAATAATTCCTGCATAATGGTTGACATCAGGACTGGAGCATAGTGAGTGACAGAAAAACATGTAAAATGTAGATGCACAAATAAAAGTGTGTGTGTGTGTGTGTGCATACATATACATATGCCTGTGCCTGTCATACATGTAATAAGCAGTGTTGGGACATGATATATAAGGATGTTCTGATACTAAGTGAATGAGGGATTCACCATAGCTGGTGCATGTTGTGGAAGAAATATTACACATTTCTTGGGAACCAGATAGGAAAATCCTGTGATACTTAACTCCTGTAGTAGCCTTTGTACTGCATTTTTCCACTCTAAAATAAGAAATGCTTCTTTTTCATGCAACAGTGATAAAATTTGTCTTGATCCACACATGGGTTTTATAGCAGTGAAAGTGTTTAGATTGGAGATATTATTTTGTTTAGTTGCACTTACCCTAAACAATTTGATAATCTCTTGCCAGTACCAGAACAGGTTATCCTTCTTCCCAGAAAAAAATAAACAAAATGTCTTTGTATGCTGCTTTATGCTAGTACTAAAGTACTCCCAGAGTAATAAGGTGTATGACTTGAACTCATGGCTGCTAGTGGCTGGTAGATCATTGTACAGCCTGAATCTGTAGGCAGGACCTGATGCTGAGCCCATGGGAAAAAAATGTGTTGTACTAAGACTAGTGCTAATTTCATGATTAACATGTACCAGTGATTTGGTTGATAGGTAGTTTGCATTGAAGACTTGAAACTACATTCAAGTGCTCCAGAATATCTTAGCACAGCATGTTAGAATCATAGAATCAAGCAAAGCTGGAAGATCATCAAGTCCAACCCTACTGTCGTTACTAGACCATGGCACCAAGTACCACATCCAGTCTGGTCTTGAAAACCTCCAGAGATGGTGAATCCACCACCTCCCCGGGCAGCCCGCAGTTTTCACATGGTTTTGCGTGGTTTACACATTTAGGTGTATTCTCTTTGTTATTCATCAACAAGTGATTTGCTTAAAAGTTTGGCCATTTCTCTTGCTATGGAGATAGACTGAAGTTCTGCTCTCAGAGGTTTTGCAGATTAAAAAGCTGCATATAACAGAAACTGACTACTTTAGCTCAGTATAAACAGTTTCGCTTTTGCATAGAGCAGCCCGGAGGCCTCTTCCCCAGTCAATAAAGACACTTCAGTGATAATTCTGACCCTTGTGATGCTGTACACAGCAAAAAGTGCCTGTCTTTGCCTTCAAGGCCAGGGATGGGTGAAGAGTTGCTCTGAGGGGATGGATGTGATCCCTGAAGGTGTTGTGTTCATCTTCACTCAAAGCTCTCCTAGAGAGTACCCAGAGTGGATGAGGGAGTGTAAAAGGGGGAAGAGTATAAAAACTATCATACAGGGGAAGGGAGTTACTATTAACTTATCTCCAGAAGAAAAAAACCCTACCAAACAAAAGCCAAAGAACACAAACATTTAAATAGATGGGGAAGTCTTAAAGAAATTTGTAAATGAATCGTTGATCTATTGCAATTGCCTATTCTACATTAGTAGTAGGACTGATGAGTTAATTACAGCAAACATTTACGGACATATTTAAAGTACAGGAGAAGTGTCTGAGGGCAGGGTCAGTACAGTGCTTCTGCCACAGAACTAAGCTTTGCTGGTATACGCACAGAAGCCATTGTTGTCATTAATACGTGGCTATAAAAAAACTGATGACCTGGTAATGTCTGGGAGTTTAGCACCTTGGTTTCTGAATCAAAGAATTGGGAGCCAAGAACTCCTGATTTTCTACTTTTCCAGTTCTCCATTTACTGCCTTGAGGAATGTCATGTGTTCTCTGCCTTGTCTTCTGTTGCTGGAAAAGGGGATGTTTTTCTTCCTACCTCACAGGGATGTTGTGAGGAATAACAAGCTAAAGTCTGTACAAAAGGTTATTCTCTTCAGTTTGGGGATCACACTTGATCAAGAGTGTGGAAGAGTACTTGAAGACTGTCATATGTGCTGTATATTCAAGTTCTGTCTTGTTTGTATCAGTGTTAAAGCATGAGAACAGAAGTATGGTGCTGAAAATTGGGGATAAAAGGAGAACAGGCTCTCTCCATATACAGCAGTGATGCTGTTGCAACAGGAGACAAGATATGTATGTCACACATGAATTTTTTTATCTTGAGGACAATAGATTGTGGTAGAGTGTCGGTATTGTTATGAAAATGTCATGTGTCCGCACAAGCTAATTGCAACAAGCTCTGAATCCACATTTTTACATTAGTTTGTTAAGCATGATTAGAAATTAAAGCACTCCTGGGTATTTCCCTCTCTGTGGACACAAGTGTGGTTCATAGGTAAGGTATACTCTGAGCAGTAGTTGCAGTGATTGGTATTACAGGGATGAAGGTTTATTGGTACATTACTGAAATCATTCCCTGCTTGACAGCACTTCACAAGACAAGGACAGTTGATACTCTGTCCTGAAGAAGATTATGATTCTACTCTATTATCACATTGGACCTCTTTCACTTCATATGCTATTGATTTTTGTCCCTGAAAAAGCAAAAAGCAAAAAAAGAATATTGTAGAAAATGTAGTTGTTCTGTAAACTTTGCAAACTAAACATGAAAGTCCTTCTATGTATCGCAAAACAATAAAGATTTAAAATCTTAGGTTTTGTCCATTGTAACCATTTTTCATGGTGTTCTGTTCTGCCATTAGGAGCAGTAAAAGATTAGCTCATGTTCACATCAGCGTGTCGTACCTCAGCACACACCAAAACCTCGAGGTCTTGGCTGAATGTGGATGGGTTTGTTGAACAGAAATAATGACATTCAGAACTCGGCTAGCAGCTGGATTCTCCATATTCTCTCTTCTCACTGATGTCTCTGTTGGGTCAATCTCCAATGTAATTATCACATTCATTTTCAAAATTACTTGCTTTTCAATCAAGTCAAATAATGGACTGCATGTGCAGTCCTTAGAGAAGTGATTTTTTACCTTTTGATTAAAACTGCTATAGAACTGATCATATTTGAGGTGTTAATCATTGATGTTAGTGTGTGTCTGCACTCTGAAAATAGTACTAGATGACACATGAAGACAAATTCCATTAACCACCTAGTGAATGATAAGGGATGAAAATGCTTGTCTGTTGATAGTGCATGTCATAAGATCATTAGTAAATATGTCATAGAATCATTTTATCTTCTGTATCATCAGAAGGCAGGTTGATAAATGTAAAGAAAAATGTTTAGGGTCATAAAAAAACACTTGATGATTTGCTCTGAAATGAAACTCTTCAGTAATTTATATGTGTGGTCAAAATCCAACAGTCTCTTACCCTGTGAAGACACTACAAGGTAAGTGCCAAAACTGCTGAGATAAATGTGGAACATTAAGTTTTCCTCTGGCAAGAGAAGAAAGTTGTTAGAGGCATATCTGAGCAGTTTTGTGGTATCTTGTGTATCTTCCATTGTTGCCTATTGTGCTGGTTTTGTCTGGGATAGAGTTAATTTTCTTCATAGTATGGGGCTGTCTTTTGTGTTTGCCCTGGAAACAGTGTTGGTAACACAGGGATGTTTTTGTTAGTTGCTGAGCAGTGCTTGCACACAGCCAAGACTTTTTCTGCTCCTCACCCCACCTCACCAGTGAGAAGGCTGGGGTTGCACAAGAAGCTGGGAGGGGACACAGCCAGGACAGCTGACCCCAGCTGACCACAGGGATATCCCATCCCATATGGCATCACGCTTAACATATAAAGCTGAGGGAAGAGGAAGAAAGGGGTTACATTTGGAGTGATGACATTTGTCTTCCCAAGTTTCACATCATGTGGCTCTGCTTTCCTGGGAATGGCTGTACACCTGCCTGCCCATGGGAAGCAGTGTATTATTGTTGAGCAGTGCCTGCCCAGAGCCAGGGCCCTTTCTGCTCCTCACTCCACCCCACCAGCAAGCATGCTGAAGGTGCATAAGGAGTTGGGAGGAGACTGGGCTGGGACATCATTTCTTTGATGCACAGTAGTACTCTGAGCTCCTCTTATGCCCATACCTGCTTCTGTAGACCAGGGGCCAGCTCTGGAT